CATGCCAGCCAGCCCCGCCCCCTGGTGGGCTGAGCTGGCCACACACACACACACACACACACACACACACACACACACAAATTAAAAAAAAAATAAAAATAAAAATAAAGCTATCTTCAAGGGAAGGGGAGTTGGAATGTTTAACCTCAGAGTGCCTATTGAATGAATGCATGAATGGACCACACAGTGTAATCAATAAGCTGCTCCATCTGTGCACTAAGACTGGAAGCACTGGTCGAGGTGGCTGATTGGGTCCTTACCCGCAGTTCTGTGGCAATTGACATACAGCATAATGGAGGGTTCACGCCCTCAGCTAAATTGAGCCTAAATCCCCATGAAGGGTGTGGCCAGGAGGGCACCTGAATGTCTCTCTGAGGAGTACCCAGCCTTTGTCTGTTGTACCATCATTTGAGGATATACAATAGACACCATAGAAAGATAAAGGAACTAGTTAAAACTTGCAGTCCCTCACTGCAGGAAAAAAGGGTTTTTATGGAGTTAAAAATGAAACCAAACCACTCCCTACATCTCAAAGAAAAGGAAAAAGAGGCCCATTTTCCCTGAGAATTCCACCTTGGCACTCATTTGTCTCTGAAGATGCTGCCAACACCTACACCTTCACTTTGCACTCCGGACTCATCCACTTCCCGACAACTGAACTGGTCCCTGCTAGCCACTGCCTGCATTTGGCCACACAGACCCTCTCCCTCACCTGGAGATGTACCTATCCTGGTCAGATGGCATCATCTAATGCCTCTCAGAGATGACTGTCATGACTGGGACAAATGAGACTCTGGCCTCTCACCCCTTCTGGAAAGCACAAACTTGCAGGCTGGGAAGTCATTTCCTTTGTACCAGGACAGTTAGCTTTTCTTTCCTTTAACCCTGACCTTTTAACTTTGATTTTCCCCCAAGAGAAAGATGATGCCTGCATCAACCTGAGATAGATAACTGCAATACTGAGGTTCTAAAATCTCTCCTTCCAGAGGTATAGATTAAAGACTTGCCTCTGAGCCTGGACATCAACCACGCCACCTCACTGTGATCCTTGCTGCTGTCAGATATCATGGGAAGCCCAAGCAGGCATCAAGTCATACATGAGCTTGAAAGACTACTAGTGACCTTGGGCAACATCTCTGTGCTGTAAGCAACACAGTCATCACTTTGCATTCTGGGATTCTTGATCCATACACTCTTTTTGGATTGTTAAAAAGATACCTTTCTCTGCTTGTGAGTTGCTCCCATAAACTCCTTCAATAGGGAAATCCTAAGATGAAAGGCTAGCTCACTTGGACTCAATTGTCTTAAGGGGTTAAAAACTCTCCTATTTGGGTAAGACTTGGACAATAGATTTGGCTCCATCACAGTCACCTGAGCAAACAGCATAGGGGACAGGGTTGTTGTCAAACTGTTGAAATACACCTCTTTTGCCTATAAAGCCAGTTCAAGCTGCTAATGCCACTGCAACTGCCCTCCGTATATGCTGTTTCAGTATTCTATCACCCACAGCCTGTTGGTACACCTGCATGGACCTAAAAAAATGCCCTCTTCTACTTTCAGTTGGCTTTTATCAGCCAGCACCTCTTCGCCTTTAAATGGAAAAACCATAGTTCCAGACTCAAAAGCCAACTGATCTGGACTCAACCTCCCAAAGATTCAGACTTGTTTCCTCTTTGAAAAAACACTTCTGAATAATGACACTTTAGCTGCCTGCTCAAAAGACAAAATCTCTGCTGCAATGTCTGCAGAAACTGGTTAAAAAAAAAAAAAAAAAAAAAAAAAAAAAGACCTCTTGACAGATGTGGAGTACATGCTGTTTATGGATGGAAGTAGCTTTGTTAGGAATGAAGTCTGACAGGCTAGATAAGCTGTGATCACTTTGGATACAATTATTTTGGCCAAAACCCTCCTACAGGGATGCTGTTTGGAAACCTGCCACCAATGACACAAAATAATCCAGTCCAGAGGCCTAAGGCTCCTCTGGGGATTTGACTAAAGCATCAACCCAAGGGAGACCTGCCTCCACTGAATGATCTGCAAGTTCAAGCTGCTACACTGGCACCTGTACCCCTGAAGCCAGCTCAGGCTTCAGTGTCTGTTGTTACCAGCATTAACCTCCCATTCCCTAACCATACTGAGAGGACAATTAAAGTTTGCAGGGCCTCCTGTAGAAAAATTATCCCTAGATATAGCCTATCCTTGATTATTGGCAGTGACAATAGGCCTGCATTTGTATCAGAGGTAACTAAAAAACTACATATAATAAAAACTACATCTATCATACAGGTCACAAAGCTCTAGAAAACAGCTTGTAACCAGTTAGAAGACCGGTTATTAATGCAGACATTCCTGTACACATATATAACCTGGATATATATTAACTACCTGTGCAAATTTCAGACATTTAGCCTTAGATCTGCTGAAAAATTGACCTGGATGGTTCGCACAAGGCTCACTCTGAAAAGAATACATTCTGAGCAGCCCATGCACAACTGGAGCCTAGGGACATTATTCATAGTATTGCTCCATATCTATTCTCCTTTGATTTTTGTGTCTTTTCAGGCTGCTTACCCCAAGACCTTGTTTCCCCGCCCTCTGCTAGCTGTGTTTTTTGCCTTAAATTCTATGGATGGTTAACACAAGAGAATAGAAAAATGAAACACTCAACCAAGATTTGATGAGCATTGAAAGTACATGAGACACTCTTCTAGATCAGATTAACTTTCTCACTCCCTTGCCAAACTAAGGTTATAGAACAGAGAGGCCTAAACTATGTCTCTTAATATGACCAGCAAAGATTTGCCAGGGAAACAAAAGAAGGGGTAAATGTAGCAGAAATTGCTCCTACCACCCCAGCCAGTATACTTCACTTTGTTAGTTTCTGCTAGTTTCAGCTGCTCCTGTCTCCTAAAAATGGCTGGTCACTGTGATGTATAGCTGGTCACTATGATGCACACTGTAAACACTATCCTCAATTGACAAGCCATTCTGCCTCTGTACTTCCTGTCTGCTTATCTTATATAAGCCCTAGACCACCAGATTAGAACCTGATATCCTGGGAATGATTCTGATCAGTACCTGTCAACATAAAATAAATCTGCCTCCAAATCCTGGGTTTTGCTATTTCTGCTTGCTGTTGCACTAGCACACATCAACAGATGTTTAGTATTCTAGGGAAGTGCTTATTCCATTGCACCATCTCCCTGGCCTGATGTTTAGTACTCTAGGACATCCCTGAGCTTTCTAAATTATTTGCTCTAATATATCAGCTCTTCTAAAAATATATCTCTTGAACTCTCAACAGTAATGCCTGTGGCTTTTATCAATGAGGACATGTTAGTGATGGTCCTAGAAGGCTTTAAAATATAGGCAGTATGTACTATGTTGTAGCCTTTTAGGAGGGAGTACTGGGGATTGAACCCAGGGAGTGCTGAGCTACAACCCCAGTCCTGTTTTACTTTGAGATAAGATCTCATTAAATTGCCCAGATTGGATTAAAATTTGTAACACTCCTGCCTCAGCCTCTTGAGTATCTAGGATTACAGGTATATGCCATTGTGCCTGGAACAGTTGTAGATTTCTTAAAAAGCATATCTCTAATCTCAGCACTCAGGAATCTGAGGCAGAAAGACAGCTGTGAGTTCAAGGCCAGACTGAACTACATGGTGAGACTCTGCTTCAAACACCAAAACTAAAACAAAATAACCCCCATAAACTTGGTGGTACAAATACCTGCCTGGCAATCACAAGGTCCTGAGTTTGATCCTTGGTAACACACACACACACACACACACACACACACACACACACACCCCATAAACAAAAAAACATAATGCCCAAAGTAGCATCAAATCAGAATGAACTCTGGTTCAATGGCAAAATCATGCCCTGCAGGCTCAGAGCTGCTTTGAGGGGAGAATAAACCCAACAAATCAGGCTAACATCTTCTATACCTAAGATGAACCAAATGATAGGGACCATGTACCTTTTTAAGGCTGAGGAGACTAATAGTATATCTGGTAACCTTTTCTATACTCTTCTTCTATAGAAAGACCTTACATCTTCACGAGATACAAAAAAACTCCATGTGGAGCTGGGGAGATAGCTCAGTGTTAATCTAAGCACCTGCCTGGCAAGCACAAGAATCTGGCTTTGATCCCCAGTACCATATGCTGTGCTGGCCCTAAGGCTGCCGTGCCAGCCACTGAAACCGAGCATAGTGGCACACAATTGTAATCCCAGCACTGGGGTAGCTGAAATAGAAGGATCACTACAAGTCTGTGGTGTGTAGCAAGACCCTGTACCTAATACATAAAACAAACAAACAAATAAGCAACCTTCCATGCTATTTATTACTCAAACCTGAATTGGTTTAATGATAAATAAAGAGGGCTGGCCAGATAGCTCAGCGGATTAAGGTACCTGCAAGCAGGCGAAGGGCCTGGGGTTCAATCCCTGGGCCTGCTGTGCCGGCTCCACCCCCAGGGTGCATTGAGACTGCAATTGAGACTGGGTGTGGTGGTGTGTACCTGTAATCCCAGCTCTTAGGAGGCTGTAAACAAGTAACTATGAGTCTGATCCAGTAGTGAGACCCTGAATAACCTGTAGACCCTCCCCCCCCCAAAAAAAAACCAAGTAAAATTTTTTGGCCTTCCTCCTTACCTACTCCCCCAGGAATCCTAGGGAAGCCTAGCAAAACCCAAATGAAAATGGGACATTTCCTAGGACTAAGAATTGAAGCTACACCTACATATATATATATATATACCACTTTACCTGGGACATCCCGTTGGTGACAGCTGGTCTCAGTACGGATTTGTTCTGCCGACTAATACAAGGACAGTTTGCTTTAATGCCCCACTTGCCCCTGGCAGCATGTACCATGTCTCCAATATTGTAAAGAGCTGAAAAAAGGACAACAATTAATTAATATCAGAACACTTGGATGTGCCATGTATTGGATCATGGACCTACTTCATTGTATTCACCTCAATACTCGACCACATAGAAACTACATTCATTCATTCTTTTTTTTTTTTTTTTTGCAGTACCGGGGATTGAACTCAGGACCCTGTGCTTGCCAGGCAAGCGCTTATTCTACTGCATTCATTCATTTTTATGACAGAGTCTCACTAAGTAGTTTAGGCTGGCCTAGAAGTAATTCCAGGGATCCTGCCTTAGCCTTGGACAGCATCAGGATTACAGATGCATGCCGTCATACCCAATTTTAAGCTAGATTTTCATAAATTTAAAACCAGTGATAATTTCAAAGCATAATGCCTGGCTTTTTTATTCTGGACGAACCTATTATAGGAATATGAAATGACGTGTTTTCTTTCTTTTGGTACCGGGGATCAAACTCAGAACCTTACACTTGCCATGAAGGTGCTTTTGCTGGTGAGCTATCTCCCTGGCGTGAAATGATATATGGAAATGTGATAAGCTCTTATCACCAGAAATGGGGAAAAAATGTGGAGAAGCTATATGCACTCTTTTAGAGATCCAAACTCTCAGAAATATAGCAGGCTTAGTTTTTTGGTTTGTTTTGATTTTTTAAATCAAACAATGAAGATGTGGTGGGTGATACACTGTGTCAGCCTGAGAAGTCAGAAGGTTGGCTGGATCTGTTTGGTGTAGAATGACTCAGCACAAAAAGGGTACATGAAGGGGCTGAGGAAGGCTTCTGTATACCCCACTTCTTTGGAGGAGTTTCACTTTGCTGCACCACTTTGCAGCTGTGCCACTTCAGAGGAGCTTGATCTTCACACTCCAATCTTCGTGGTGGAGCTCCATTCTTGGCAGTCAGCATGGAAAGGAGAGGCTTGATAGACACTGCAACTGCTGCCCCTTCCTCTGCTCTCCACTGCTGTGAACTGTTGCCTTCTGCCCTCGAGTCAGCCAAGTATGGACTGAAAACCTCCACTGTGAGGTAAATAAATTTTTCCTTCCTTAATTTTGGGTGTTGGGTATTTTGTCCCAGCAATGAGTAACAAGTAACTGAGAGAGAAGACAATTCACTTCACTACATTTTATGGTAAGATAATATCTCCATTAAGAACACTTGTTTTCAAAGGCTGGGAGGGGTACCACATGCCTCTAATCCCAGCATTCCTGAGGCGGAGGTAGAAAGATTGCCTGCTGTGAGTTCAAGGTCATTCTGGGCTACATCGTGAGTTTAAGGACAGCTTGATTGACAGAGTGAGACCCTGTCAAGAAAACAAAACACTCCCCGCCCCCCCAAAAAGCCAAAACAATAACAAGGAATCTATAAAAGGCATTTCTTCACCTGTGCCAGGGATGATCTGTGTGGGCATGAGATTCTCTGGTTCATGGGACTGCCCCTTTGCACACTTTAACCAAGAGAAAACCTCTTCATCACCCATCTCCTCTGTCTCTGAAACACAAAGGAAGGATTTCACTTATTTCATTAGGATCACAAGATGAGTCCCTCTCAGTGACAAGTTTCACAATTCTAAAAGCAATTTTGTCATGTACAAAACAAAATGTTAAGAGCTAACTTTCAAAACATAGGTTTTACTCTGGCATAATTTGCATACAATAAACTAACAACTGCAAGTGTGTACTTCAATGAGTTTCAATAAATATATTCAGCTATACAAATACTATCGCCTTCATGACACAGAACACTTCTGGCCTGTCTCTAAAAGTCCCCTCATGCCCTTAATAGTTAATATTCTTCCTTCACTCATGGCCACCATTGATCCATTTTCTAGTACTGAATCAGAATTTCTAATACTAGCATTGCATATAGGTGGAAACATACAGCTGGGCACAATGGTACACGTCTGTATTTCCTAGCAGTGGGGAAGCTGAGGCAGAAGGATTCTAAGTTTGACTGCAACCAGAGGTAGGTGATGAGGTCCTTGTTCCATGCTAGCCTGTACTAGACAGTGAGACCCTATTTCAAAATAAAAAACAAACCCACCAAGCACACCAGGAGGCATACAGGGTACAGTCATTTGTATTAGCTTTCTTTTAGTCATAAATACTTTTGAGATGCTTATAGATGAACTATTACAGTATCTATAAATTAACTCCTTTTTATAGCTCAGTAGTATTCCACAGTATGGATATACCACCATGTTACCTATGCACTAGCTGGCATATACTTGGATTGGTTCTAATTTTCAACTACCATGAATAAAGCTGGCAGAAATATTTATGCACAAATTTTTGTGTAGATGTTTTCATTTTTCTCCGTCACACAGTTATGATTTAACTTTTTAACTCTTTTTTATTTTTTTGTGGTACCGGGGATTGAACTCAGGACCCTGTGCTTGCCAGGCAAGCACTTATTCTACTGAGCTATCTCCCTGGCCCACATTATTCTCTTCTAAAGAGATAGAACCAATCTACATTGCTAATGGTAATGTTTAAGAGAGTTACTTCTTCTCCATACTAGATAACACTTGATATTGTGACCTTTAAAAAGTTTTTGTGATTCTGGTTATGCTTTTCATTTGCACGTCCCTACTGCATAATGCTTTCTATGTATTTGTCTATACTATTTAAATCTTTCTTCTATTAAATTTTTTTAAACAGTATCTAATCTCACTTGTAGCCCAGGCTGGCCATAAATTTGTAGCACTCCTCCTGACTCAGGTTCTAAAGTGCTAGGATTACAGGCATATACCACAAAGACCAGTCTTTTTATTTTAGATTTATGCCCATTTTAAAACTGGCTTGTTTGTCTTCTTGTGTTGTGAGACGTCGTTATATGTTATAAATACAAGCCCTATATAAATGTGAGTGACAATCCTTTTCTCCTAGTTTGTGGTCTCTCATTTAAATTTCTTAATACTGTTTTCTGATGATTGATTTTCAAATTTGATAACTAATTTTTCTTTCTTTTTTTTTTTTTAATTTTAAAGAAAGGCTGGGTGTGGTGGCACACGCCTATAATCCCAGCTCTCGGGAGTCTGTAAACAGGCAGATCACTATGAGTCTGATCTAGCAGTGAGACCCCGAACACCCTGTAGACCCTTTCCTAAAATATTAAAAAAAAAAAAAATTTAAAGAGGAAAAAAAAAAAAAAACAACCAAAATTCCAAAACAAGATGAGGGTAATAATGTTAAAACACTGCATATTGTTATCTTTAAATTACTCAGAGTACAAGATACAGGCATTTAATTGTCCAAACAATATTATCATAAACTTTTCTTTTCAATAGACTAAAAGAAATTAGTAGGCCAGGAGAGAGAGCTCAGCAGCATAAACAACTGCCTGGCAAGAGCAATGTCTTGAGTTTGATCCCTGGTACCAATAAACAAACAAATATATACACATACTTTTTTGGATTTTCCCCTTTCACCCATTCCAGTTTATCTTTTCTTTTGAACACTTTCTTCCCATTTTACAATTATAATTTTATTTTTATGCTTGGGTATAGAGTATTTTATATATTGAATACTACAGCATTATAATAAGTCTGAAACAGGACTAGTTCTCCAACTTTGTTCTTTTCTGTTTTGGTCTTTCTAGGTCCTTTTTTTTTTGTATGTGGAACCGGGGATTGAACTCAGGACTCTATGCTTGCCAGGCAGGCGCTTATTCTACTGAGCTATCTTGCCGGCCTGTCTAGGTCCTTTGATTCATATAAATTTTACAGCCATTCTGTCAATTTCTACAAAAAACATAATTAAGCTTTTGATTGGAAATTGGTACATCTCCCCATTTACTATGTATCTTGTTTTTCTTCTGTCTCACTTCTTTGAGACAGGGTCTTGCTATGCAGTTCAGGCTGGTCTCGAACTTGCAATGTCTGCCCACCTCAGCCTCCTGAGTGCTGGGATTACAGGTGTGTGCCACCTGGCATGTAGTTTTTAATTTCCCTTAATGTGTTGCAGTCTTTAATACATCTTTTTGCTTCTTTTTTAAGACCGTGTCTTACCATACAGTTCAGGCTGGCCTTGAATTTAAGGCAATCCTCCTGCCTTAGTTTCCCAAGTACTGGGATTACTTTGTGTTATTTTGATGCTACGTAAATGACAGATTTAAATTCCCAATTTCTAATTAATTGCCATTATAAAACCAGGTGTGGCAGACCACCTCTGTAATCCCCGCACTTCAGAAGCTGAGGCAGGAGGATTGCTGGGAGTTTGAGGCCAGCCTGGGCTACAAAGTAAGTCCCAGGCCAGCCTGAACTGCAGTGAAACTTTGCCTCAAAACAACAAAAAACGAAACCCCACAAATACAATGGATTTTTATAGGCTAACTTTGTTTTGGAAATCTTGCTACTGTTTTACATGATCTTATCATCTGAAAGTAAAAACTATCTTACTTCTTTCTAATCTTTTTTTTTTTTTTTTGGAGGGGCGGGTACCGGGGGTTGAACCCAGGAGCTTCACAATGGGCTACATCCCCAACTCTTATTGTTTAAAACAGGTTCTCCCTAAGTTGCTAATGTTAGGCTCAAACTTGTGATCCTCTTGCCTTAGCCTCCCAAAGTGTTAGATTTACAGATGAATCCAGCTCTACCTTAATATCTTTTATTTCTTTATATTAATAGCTCCAGTACAATATTGGCTAGAAGCTACAAAAGTGAATATCCTTGCTTTGTTCTTCTTTCTCAAATTTGGGCTCAGTGGATTAAAGTGCCTGGGGTCTGATCTACGTAGTGAGACCCTGTAGACCCTGTGTTAAATACACACAAACAAAAAGTCTGTAACATTTTGTGTGCTCAAAAATTTCAAATTGTTGTATTACTAGTTTTCTTTTGTTGTGCTGTGCTAGGTCTCAAACAGTCTTCTGGGATGTAGGGGAGCACTCTGCTGCTGAGCTGTACCCGTAGCCTTCATAGCCTAGTCAGGATGGGCATGAGTACCAGATATTCAACCTTGTATTTCCTTCCCCTGAGACTATATGACCTATTTTATTAAGTATTTATGTACTATTTATTTGGTACAGGGTAATGATCCTCCTGTCTCAGCCTCCCCAGTGTTGGGATTACAGGCATGTGCCACCATACCCAGTTTTGGTGGCTGGGATGGCATGTGGTACCGGGGATTGAACCTGGGTCCTTGCACATGCCTGGCAGGCTCTTAGACCACCTAGCTATCTCCCTACCCTGTACTTATTAATTTGTAAAAAAAAAAATCTATTTATTTGGTATAGGGTCTTGCCACAAGGCTCAGACTGATAGTGATCCTCCTGTCTCAGCTTCCCCAGCACTGGGATTACTGGTGTGTTAGGCAAATATTTTTCTTTTCTTTTCTTTTTTTTAAGGCAAATATTTTTCTGTATTTGCTCAGATACTCATATGGTACTACACTGGCTATGTAGCATAGGCTGGTTCTAAGCTCATGGTCTTCTTGCTTCAGCTTTCCAAGTGTTAGGATTAGAGATGTGCACTACCACCCCTGGCTAGATTTAATTTTTTTTTTTTTTTTTACCAGGGACTGAATTCAGAACCTTGATCTTGCCAGGCAGGAGCTTATGATACTGAGCAATACACCCAGCCCTAGACTTAAATCTGACAAAATATTTTTAATTCTTTGCTTATAAAAGATATGGGGCTAAATTTTATTTTGTTTTTTTTTTTTTTTTTTTTTTTTGAAATAGGATCTCTTTGTGTAGTCCAAGGGACCTTGAACTGATGGGCCTCCTGTTTCAGCCTCTTACAATGGTGAGATTACAGGCATCTATCTATCTATCTGTCTGCCTGTCTATCTATCTGTATTTTTCTTGTCTTTTTTGGACAGGGTCTCCCTATGCAGTTCAGGCTGGCCTTGAGCTCACTTTGTAGCCCACGCTGGTCTCAAACTCCCAACGATCCTCCTGCCACAGCCTCCCAAATGTTGGGATTACAGGCACATACTACCATGCCCAGTTTATATTTGGTTTTGATGTTAGTGTAATACTGTCTTCATAAAATGAGTTGGTGTATCCTCTATTTTCTTTTTTTTTTTTTTTTTTGGTGCTAGGAATTGAACCCAAAGCTTCCCACTTGCCAGGCAGGCGCTGTGCTGCTGAGCTACACTACCAGCCCTCCTCCATTTTCTGAAAACAACAACATAAAACATAGCATATATATAATTTGTAACTTCTTAAATGTTTGCTATAAGTTATCAGTACAACCATTTGGGCTATCATTTTTCTTAGTTGGAAGGTTTTTTTTTCAAAACCAGGAGTTGAACTCAGGCTCATATGCTTGCCAGGCAAGTGCTTATTCTACTGAACTATCTCCTTGGCCCCTTGTTGGAAGGTTTTTTTTTACAACTACAAATTTAAGTCAGGCACGGTAGCACACGCTTGTCATCCCAGCACTCAGGAGGCGGAGGCAGGAGGATTACTCTGAGTTCAAGGCCAGCCTAAACTACATAGTGAGACCATGTCTCAGAAAAACAAAAAAACCCTACAAATTCTTTTTTTTA